TGATCTAGAACTCAGTATGTAGACCAGACAGACTCAAACTCACAAAGATCCATTTGCCGTCCAAGTGCTGGAATTAAAGGCATGAGCCACCATGCATGCATAACTATGAAACAATTCTTATAGCAGAGGGAATAGGAAAAAATTTATTCTGTGCCAAATATAAATGACCATGCTCTGTGGACAAAAATGTTCCTGTGAGGAAGCAGTTATATGAACTTTTTATGTCACAGAACAAAAGAATGTCATAAATCAGTGCACATACTAAATAACATAAATAGGGACATCAGATCAGTTATGGTACCAAATCCAGAAAACCTCTGCTAATGAAGCTTTCAGATGCTGTCTGGTGACATTCTTAGCTTTGGGCTTGGAGAAAGCTAGACATCTCGTAAGTTTATGCATTCTAAAGATATTTCTGATGATGGAAAGTGTTCTAAGCAAGATACAGTAGGTGAGCACTAAATGATTATTCAAGGGACTAAATAAAAATAGTCGAAGATAATTTTGACTCCAAATTTGTCAAATTTCAACTTTCTACTGTCATAAAATTCTAATCAGTCAGTCTTCAAAATAAGTGTGGCTTTTCCCCCCAGGGAATTCTATTTTATACTATCATTATTTAATATTATGTACAATTAACTATGGTAAACGCTTACATAACTGGCAACACAATGGGTTTATTAATAATCAGCAGCGCTCAAATACGGGAGTTGTTTACAGTATTATGACATAGAAGCTCTTCTGCTGTTAGCATTATGGAACCAGTCCATTGTGGATCAAAACATTCTTCGGTATCACATGACTGTATTCTTATTTTTGCATGGCTGCATTTGTTCTCCTATTCATGCATGCATGCATGTGTGTGTGTGTGTCTGTGTAGGAGAAAGGATAGACAGAGAAGAAAATGGAGAAGTTGAGTCTTCTGTATACATATGGTAATTGCTAGAAATGTTTGATTTGATGATCATACATATGGGAATCCTTCCTAAGAAATGATTTGAAGTACTACATAAAAATGATATACTAGGGCCATAGAGGTGGCTCAGCAGTTAGGAACTCTTGTCGCTCCTCCAGAGGGCCTGATTTCAGTTCCCAGTACTTGTCAGATGGCTCACAGCTACTTGTCACTCCAGTTGTAGGGATTCCAGTGCCCTTTTCTGACCTCCATAGACAGCGCCACATATGTAGCATATACTCTCACAGGCACATAAATCATAAAAAAATAAACTTTTTAAAAGGGGCTTGTAGTCTAGTAAGTTCTGGAATATGAACATGCCCAGCCATAGTAAAATAATTAAGGATATTATCCTACAGTTATAGAGTGAGTTGTTATACTCTTAAAAAAACAGCTTAATAGGTGGAATGAATTTTTAAAATGCTAACAACATGATTAACAAAAGCCAGAAATGTATGACCTTTATATAGTATAGGTATTTTATTCTATAGTTATCTGTTGTTTTTGCTTTAGAATTTTTATATAGCTTCTCTATCATGAGCAAAATTAAGAATTTATTATTAAAAATCAGAGGGACTTATATTTTATAACTTAAATTCCAATAGCTATTTTGGATTCTTAATTCTTAATACTGAGATGTGTATGTGTGTCTGTGTGTCTTTCTCTGTCTATCTGTCTTATAACTGTTATTCAGGCTGTCCTGAAACTTACTGTCATAGTTCATTCTAGCCTCAGCTTCAGAGCAGTTCTCCAGCTTCAGCTTCCTAAATGCTGGAATTACAAGCGTGAGCCACTGTTCCTGGTAATAATGACCTTTATAAGAAAAGGAAAAAAATAAAAAAGCTACCTAATGTCCAAGACTAGCTTAGAATCACTGTTAGGTTTATTTCTTTTGTATCTTTACATTTCCTGTGAACTGTTATAGTTCTTCACAACACTGGCCTTTTGGAGAGTGTAATTTATTTGTTAGGGTATCTTTTTAAGGTAAGTTTTAATGTCTCATTAACTAAACCTCCAGCTCCCTCCTGATTCTCCTCCATAGTACTCTTTGTTCTTCAGTCTTTTGTAAAGTTTTCCAATTCATTTTATCCTATGAGCTTTAGTATTACCCTATTTAGTTAGCTCCATAAAGAAGCCTTTTGAGGGCGAGGGGAGTCAGGGATATTGTTTAGTGTTAGATTCTCTGCTTGAAACTCTGAATTTGATCCTTGACTGCACACACAACACACACATACACACACATACACACACACACACACACACACACACACACACACACACGCACGCACGCACGCACGCACGCGCACACACACGTGCCAAAGTGTACGAGTTCCCAAAGTGTAGGAGTTGTAATGACTCATGCCTCTAATCTTAGCACCTTGGAAGCTAATGTGGAAAACAGTTTGAAGCCAGCCAAGATCACTTATCAAGACCTTGTCTGCTGCCCATTTCCCCAAAATGGAAGAAGCCACATCTTGATATTTTTATTGGAACTGCCTTTACGTTAGAAACTATCCAAGAGAGGGCTGATATTTTTATGATAAGAAGTTAAAAACATATTGCTCATGTTTATGCATGTTTATTGCTAAGTAGTTTTTAAATGTTGAAAATTTATTTTTAAAAATATATTTTAATGATTATACTTAATTTGAGATTATTGTGGATTAAGATGTAATTATCAAAAAGCAACAATATATTTGTACTTATAATATAGAGGTCTTGCATAACTTTTACTGAATTATCTTTCATAGCTTGTCATCTTAATAGGTTTTCTTTTTCTAATAGTTGCATGAGTATCCTATGAATTTTTCTTTTAAATGAGTAGAGACCTGTTCCTGTTGGTTTTGTCAACAGAGATGAGTTGTACTTTAGAAATGAGCATTGTGTGCCATAGTAAATTATGGGCAGAAGGAAAGATAGGAATTTCTACAGGTAAAATGAGAAGGGTTACCCAATTTGCCCTGAAATTATTTTCTTTGACTCAAGGCCAAATGACAAGAATGGCATTGACCCAAACCTGGACAGGAAGCTGCTAGGGCTGTATCCTTCTCTCTCTCATAAATAATTTTCATTTTTTGACTTAGGGGCTTTATTCCAATAATGATTCTGGCAGCCTTTTGTGATAGGTCTTGATATTAGACAGTGATGAAGGGAAATATCTGAGTGACTTCCCTGGCGCTCTTTGGGGTTTGACAAAAGTGACTTTCTGAAAAATTTTCACAATTTCAGTGTCTGTATTCTCCTTGCATTTATTTCCTCCTGTACCTTTCTCCCTCTTATCCAGTGCTCTTTTCTTTGCTCTCTCCCTTTCCCTCCTAACTGTCACCTGTTACATTAGGACTTTATTTCTATAGATGTCCCTGATCATGTTCAAGATGTTTTCTTCTACTAGTTATTTACAATTTTTAATTAAAATATAATTGCATCATTTTCTTTCTTCTCTTTCCTCCCTTCAGCCCCTCCCATGAACCTCCCTTGATTTCTCAAATTCATGGCTTCCTTTTCTTTATATATATTCCTAAGTATATAAATATAGTCTGCTCAGTATGCATAATGTTCCTTGTATGGATATAATGATAGGGCTGACCACTTGGTTTTAGATAACCAGTGGGGCTCTTTCTGCCTCTGATGAGGGAGAAGGTTGGCAAATGCCATAGTTACTTTTCTTCTTTTGTCAAAACAACTAATAAAAGCAACTTAAAGAAAGAGGGTTTCTTCTTTTTCTCCCTCCTCACATTTTGACATTAATGTCCATTCTGGCATGGGAGGTGTGGTGGCAGAGTTTGAAGTACCGACTCCAAACTTGTTTTCCATTTTGAGGCAGGATCTCTCTCTCATTGGCCTAGAGCTCACTGAATAGGTTAGTCTGGCTGGTCATTGAAGCCCAATCCACCTGTTTCTGACTTCCCAGCTGTGGGATAACAAGTGTGTTCCACTATATAAAGCTTTTTAAAGTGGATTCTGGGAATCAAACAGATCACCATGTTTGCATGGCAAACACCTTATCATCTCAGCTATTTTTTTCAGTCTTGAGGGAAAATTTTTATGTTAGCCATTTTTTTATCTTATTCAGTCCTTCCTAATGAATTGTTACTCTTGTGTTCCATGATAGCAGCAACTAACTCAGAGCTTAATTTAAGTACATTTACTTGTAAAGTGCTTCATACATATTTCCGGTTTCATCATAGAATAGTAAAATAGTGTGCATACAAGGGTCCAGTCTCAATAAAGGCTACTTTTTTATGATCTTATTGAGGGCTAGAGAGGTGAATCCAGAAAGCTTTGGTATAGAGCAGTAGCTCATAGAAGAAATAATTAGTTCTGGTTGTGTTGCAGATGTGGTACAATCACTATAGGGATTTGAATTGAATGGTTTTGAACTATGTTGAGGGGTAGAAAATTATATTTAATCCTTTTCATATTGTAGCTCATTTAGCTGATAAATCTCTCCCACTTCTTCTTTGCATCATCCAGGCCTTGTAATTAAATTTAAGTTGCTTGACGATTTTTTTCTCCTTTCAATGCTACTCATTTATTTTTTCCTTTTATCTCATATATGTCTTTTTAAAGTTATAGTTTGTTTTTTCTTGTCTCTCTCTGTTTTTTTAACACTTTGGAGACAAGTGTAGCCAAGACTGATCCTTAAACTTGCTATGTACCCAAGGTTAACTCAGAACCACTGATCCTGTTGCCTTTGCCTTTTAAGTACTGAGTCTACAGGCCTTGGTCACCACTGTCAGTTTTATGTGGTATTGGAAGTGGAAACCAGGACTTTGTGCATGCCAAGCAAGCACTCTTCCTGCTGGCCTGCATTACCTTCCCACATCAGTGTTTTAAAAAGAATGTTTCATTTTTAATTTTTAATCATTCTGTGAGAGGATTTTTTTCCCTCGTATTTACTTGAAAAATTGAAACTGTGATCTGAGAATTATACCTTTTCACCATTTGTGGTCACTTTATTATAATGTACATTTGAAAGTCCAGAAGTAAGCATGTAAGAATGTGGATTGTATGGAGTTGTAAGTGTCTTTTCTTATCACCTTAGACAAAGAAACAGCCTTGGTATAACAGCACATTAGCATCAAGACGAAAGCGACTCACTGCTCATTTTGAAGACTTAGAGCAGTGTTATTTTTCTACAAGGATGTCTCGTATCTCAGGTACATGTTCAGGATTTCTCTTAAAATGTCTGAAAATCATCCTTCAGATGTATTTCCAGGTTCATAGGTTAGATTTATGGAAAGTTCTAATGGCAACAAATTGTGTGTTTTTGACAGTTTTATCCATAGTGTGGAGGGTCTTAGAGATTGCTGTTGTCTACTGGTAATCTCTGTTTCTCATTCAGGGATGTTTAATCTTTCTAGAGCAAGCTATATAAAATTTGAAAAAATAACCATGAATGTGTAGCTAGTAAAAAAACAAACAAAAGTTCTATTTACATAGCTCCTATTCAGCATTAATAAGTTTTAAGCACTATTCTTTGTACTGAGGTTAAAAAGATGGAAGAATTGGTTCTTATTTATCATAAAGTGGAATGTTATAAATCTGTAGGCAAAAACAACAGGTAGCTAAAAATTCCATGTGTACAATGTGCTATAAATGTGCAATATCCATTGATGTAACTGAGTGTGAAAAAAATCTAGGCTAAAGTGAAAATAAAAAGACATAAGTGAATGTTCTAAGTTGGGACTTAGAGATTGTGTTTAGGCAAATAAATTAAAAAAATAATTAGAAACATTCAAAATACACATAATATAGGACCACATGGACATGATAGCATACTATGTTTTTAATTTTAGAGGAGTAGTAAGGCTTCCTTCAACCTTTCTCAACATCTTTACTCATTTGTGAAGGGTGGATATTAGTAATAACCCTGCAGGTGTTCAAAGAGTTATAGGTGAGGGGCTAGAAAGATGGCATAGAGTACTTGCTGTTCTTCCAGAGGATCCAAGTTCAGTTTCCAATTCTCATGTCAGTAGACTGCCTGTAACTTCAGCCCCGCAGGATCTTACTCCTTCTAGCCTCTATTGGGCATCAACGCGCACGGGCACACACACACACACACCTTGTTCACACATAAATATAAATAAATAAATAAAGTAAGTAAGTAATTAATAGTTATAGATAAAGTGTATAGGACATGGTGCTTAGTACATGTTAGGAGCCCAACAGACAAACAAATAAACAAATAAATAAAAGTTATAGATGAAGTGTATAGAACACAGTGCTTAGTGCATGTTAGGAGCCCAACTAATTGATTCCATTAGTAGTATACCTGTTATAAATGAAAACCATCAAGGGGAAAATTGTGTGGTAGTATATTGGTTATTGAAAACTGAGTCATGATTTGCTCCTGAATGAATGAACACATTATATTATGTTATGTTATGTTATGTTACATTATATTATATTATTATATTATATTAGCAGTTTATATACTGTTTAGATATTTTTGATAAATTTGCCTCATAATTGGTGATGGAGAAAAAATATTTATTCATGTAGGCTGAGTATGTGGCTCAGTTGGTAGAATGTTTGCCTAGCATGCAGTATCCTGAATTGGATCGCCAGCACTATATATTATAAGGAGTAAAAGTAAGCATGGTATGCTTGCCTGCAATCCTAGTTTGAGAGTTAGAGGCAGTAGCGTTGGAAGTTCAAGGTCATCCTTGACTACATAGTTGGTAGCCAGCCTAGACATACACATACATGCGCACATATACACATTTAGGGAAATGCCAGAATTTATCCTTAAGCATATTTGATTTGAGATGAATGGTGAACATATTTACGAGTGAAAATGTTACAATCACTGCCAAGGGTTTAAGTCCTTTAATTGTTTATGAATATAGACTACAATAAGGAGGGCTTAAATTAATAGTCTAATACCTATATTTTGAGGTGCAGGGAATTCCTGTTGACTCCTTTAAACATTACTTGCTATTTTGATGCTGAGGATGGTAGACCATAGGGTAGGTATTGAGATACTTTCTTTGAAGTAGAGATGACAAAGAGCTTCAGATAGAATTAAGTCACTGGCAACACAGGTATGCTTGCTATGAATGGTAAAAGTGACAGCTAGGTTATTTGTTCTAGATGTAGATTTATAGGATGGGACACTACTAAGTTCACACCAGAAGGCAAACTTAAATTTTATTAATGTCTGTATTGTACTTAAAGCACGTTGTCTCTGGTGTTTAGAAATCTTAAGTTATGCTGGATTTGCACGTTGACCACCCTTAGCTGTACTACTGAATATGAAGTTCTTTTGACAGTAAGGAGGAAACCTTCACTTGTACCCAGTGAAGTTCATAAATGTTGATTGCACTTCATTGTTTTCCACCTCTACCTTTTTTTGCAGTTGTGAAAATGACAGGTATTTATTAGAAAATTAATGTCTTGACCTCTTAATTATAATTTAAAAAGGATGTAAATGAAAAGTCATCAAGAGGAAGAGAGACATTGAAAACACTACTTTAAGCTATAAATAAGATGGAGAGATAATATGCCAACAGATGTATGTCTGTTGATGTTGATCATAACAGCCAAGCATACAAAATCCAAACTTTATAACCAGATATGTGAAAAAGAACTGGTATACACTTAGATACTGAAATAACAGCTTCTTTTTTGTAGATTGATTTGTTTTGTTTTACATATATGATTGTTTTGACTGCAAGTATATCTGTACACCACATGTATGCCTGGTGCCTGTGGAGGTCAGCGGAGGACGTCAGATCCTCTGTAACTGGAATTATAAATGGTTGTAAATCACCATGTAGGTGCTAGGAACCAAACCCAGGTCATCTCCAACATGTGCTTTAAATGCTGAGCCATCTCTTTAGCCCCAGTTTTTTTTCTTATAAAATGTTGTATGTTTATATTAATCAGCTTTAGTGATAGCTAAGAGTACATGTACATATACTAGAAACAAATTATAGTCTTCAACAGAGTATACATTCTTGAATGCCTGTGATTATGTATGTACTTAGTAACTAAAGGCAAAATGTGAAAGAAGATTAATATTAAAAAATGTTTTGCCAGTACTTATATTAAATAGGTCACAATAATAGGATTACAAATAAAAATAGTTACCATAGCCATAGCATTCTGTGTTGATTTTGGTGGCTGAATGCCCCATAACTTATGTTTTATTTATATTCTGTTGGACTTTGCCACTGTAATTTTTGGAATAGGATCTTTATTTCCGTTGTGATATCATATGCTAATTAGGCCATTCTTGTACTGTTTTTAGAATAAAAACACTACTAACTTGGACCTTTTAGTCTAGGTTGTTTTTCTGTCTGCCCAAATCTTTAGCATTTATGAAACATCAGTGATGGAGTTTAATTTCTTTCAATAACTTTGTTTTTATTATAAGTATTAAATAAATTTTATCATATCGTGTAAGTTTTGAAGATAATTTTTTTAAAAAATGGTTTTTGTCGTATGGAACTTTATGCATCTTAATTTTATTATGCCTATTATTACTTCAGATAGTATGTAATAAGTAGAATCACGAAGTTTATTTTGAAAATGCTGTGTGCATGTATGTGGATGAGAAATAAGGAAGTTATGAGAGGACAGCATTAAAAGAAATCATTTCAATTTTTGGTCTTTAGGGAACTAATGTAATAATTGTGTATTGTAATTTTTGTTTGTTTTGTGTTTTCAATTCTTTGGGGGAAGGTTTATAAGTCCACATTTCCAATAGCCGTGATAAACTGAGTATTTTATCTGTGCTTTACTGCAAGCATACCTCTGTATTCATGAATAGATAAATTGCCAGCTACTTTGTATGTAAATGCTCTGATTTAAATCTCAGATGGTTTAGCTTTGAATAGATTACCTAAAGGGAACTTTGTCTGGTGTTCTATTGAGTGTTGTTACTGTTGTCTTTGAGAATCAGTAATTTATACATTGCTGTTTGTACTTCTGAGAATACTTCAGTTATGTCAGCACATTTGTTAATTTCAAGTCTTTTTCCTAATATGTATTATTTAATTTTGCTTTGACCATAAACGTGGGATAAATGTACAACTCTGTAAACACATTTTGTTAAACTAACAAATACCCATTAACATGTAGATCTTCCTCCAGCCTTTACTGTCAGCATTGATAATCAGATTTTGTTTTTAATGAATGATTTAACTTCTATTCACTAGAAGCTCTTTAAAAAACTGTTTTAGCTGGGCAGTAGTGGTGCATGCCTTTAATCCCAGCACTCGGGAGGCAGAGCCAAGGAGATCTCTGTGAGTTTGAGGCCAGCCTGGTCTTCTACAGAGCGAGATCCAGGACAGGCACCAAAACTACACAGAGAAACACTGTCTCGAAAAACCAAAAAAAAAAAAAAAAAAAAAAACCTAAAAAAAAGGTTTTATTTTCCCCTGAAATCAGTGCTAAAACTGAAGTAGAGGAGATTGCATTTACATTCTTACTGGCATAGAAAGACATTTTAGTGACTTCATAGACCATTTTTATTAAAGTTAAAAGATCACCTAGTTAATTTGAGCATGCTGGTCTTCTTTAGAATCTTCAAACATATTTGTTATTTAAAAGATAATAAATATCTTTAATATGAGGTCATTGTTCTTTTATTGTGTCATTCATTTACTTAATATTGGGTTTTTTTATTTTATTTTTGATACAGATGACAGTAGAACTGCAAGTCAGTTAGATGAATTTCAGGAATGCCTGTCCAAGTTTACTCGATACAACTCAGTAAGACCATTGGCCACATTGTCATATGCTAGTGATCTCTATAATGGTTCCAGCATAGTTTCTAGGTAAGTATTTGGCACACTTCTTACTGTTGTTTTATTGAAATATAAGAATACCTATTAATTGGAGAAGCAGCTATAACATCTCTGAAATTTGGAATGCACAAGCTAGATTGCTGTCTTGATAATTGGAGTGCTCAGTAGTACCCATCTGACAGAACACTGAAGCTTCTCTTCATGGTGTATATCTGTTGTCTGGGTGTAATGACGGAAGGTGCTCCTTATGTCCTCCCTTTGGTCTTGCCGTCTGGATAGAACCTGCTACATTTCTTTCCTGAATATTATGTTTGATTTTCTAGTGAAGCTTCTATGGAAGATGGAATATGATCAAAGTACATTGATAGTTTGAACACTTAGTATATTGTTTGGAAAGGAGGGATAATTGTAGACAGTCTAAATATACAAAGCACAAACTGACAGTATAGTTTAAAAATATATTCTGGGGCTTGTGGTATAACAGCCAATAATTGTTTGCCTCAAAAGCAGGAGACCCTGAGTTTAATACCCAGAACCCATGTGAAATGATGGCCAGGCATAGTAGTGCATGCTTATTATGCCAGTGCTATTGAGGCAGATCTTGCGGCTTACTACCATGTTGGCAAGTTCTAGGCCTGTAAGAACCTGTCTTAAAAGAAAGCTGAACAACACTGAGAAATGGCATCCAAAATTATCCTCTGACTTTAGCATGCACACATGTGCATTTGCTTACAAACACATACAAATTTCACTGTTATATACAACTTTCCATTTCTTACAGTAATGGACATTGAAAAACTGCCAGGTTGTGTAGCACTTAGCCCATTTTTCAGTAATCTGTTGGTATCTACAAATGATTGTTTATATTCAAACTTACTAGAATAAATAAGCTTAAAAGGCATTTTTAAACAGATGAACAGTGTGACCAGTTGGGTTCTTGCTGTTGCTGACTCTACCATTAAGCTACTCCCCTACCTGGTCAAATTTTAACTTTTGAATATTACTAAAACTTTATGCTTTTCATGTGGAAGACTAAAGCTTTTATTTACATGGATGAAGATTAATCCTGAACTCTGAGCTGTTAAAGACATAATTGCTAGAAGTTTTCCAGAGATTTCTATCTGCTTGTAAATAAGAAAAAATCCATACATTGATTTCTTTTTAGTTTTTCTTGGGTTAATTTGAAGCTCCAGTGGAATTTGAACTTCATTCAATTGCATAATTCATCTAACAAAATTTCATTGATTACCAGCTATATAAACTAAATGAACACCCATGAAGAGGCTACATACAGATCATTACATTCAGGAGACCTCATAATCTTATTTTCATGTCTTTATGATATAATGGGTTAGTTTATAAAACAATCTATCCTATAGGAACAGGTTAACATTACATAAATTCTTAACTACTAATAAGAATATATGATATAGATGATAAATGCTTCAGAAATGTAGTTCAAGTGCAAAATTCAAAACTATGAAGGAGGACCTGGTGTGGTGGCACATGTCTTAAACCCCAGCGTTCTGGAGGCAGAGGCAGGCAGAACTGTAATCTGTATGCGTTTGAGGACAACTTGTTCTGTACAGAAAATTTCAGGCTAGCCAGAGCTACGTAGAGAGATGCGCGCGCTCTCTCTCTCTCAAAAAAAAAAAAAAAAGGTTTTGTAATACTGACCTGATATGACTATCTACAAGCTAAAATATTTGGGCCCTGTTGTGATTCCAGTTAATGTCCCTTACCATTGTTAATGGTATTTTCCTTTTCAGTTAAAATTTTAAAGTGCATGTTTTAAAAGCAGCATGTCTTCTTGAGGGATATAGGGCTTATTGTCAGGCCATTTCAAGAGGAGTGTATCCTTAATATTTTTAAAGCCTAGTGTTGTTGCATTTAATATATTCCAAAATTTAACAAATGTACTTATATAGTTTTTTTTTTTACCATATAGACATTCATAGCAAAGCATTTTATATTCTAAAACAGAATTAGTTTAAAACTAGACAAAATTTCAGACTAGAAATACTAGATATCCAAAGTGTGAACAGTTACATTTACATATTTTAAATTAGAATTTTACAAATTTAAGTAGATGTGGTGGTTCATTTGGCATTAGCCTTCATTAGCTGATTAGCCTTCATTATTTTCTCCCAATTATACTGATTAACATTTCTTAAAGAAATAATTCCAAATTATTTAGTTTGTTATGCAAACAGGACAGATGAAGAATAATAGGAAACAAGAATGGATGATGAAGTCCAAAATGAAAGCTTTGAAACTTTCATAATTTTGGTGACTTTTTTTGCTCTTCTGATATTGAAACTTATTGATAATAAATTCATTCTAAGATTTGATTCCTTTTAATTATTAGTAAAGTTAATGAATTTCAGAAAGAGGGTTAAAAACCATAAAAACATTGTCAGCTAGAACAAATTCTTATTCTTATCAAGATTATATAAGATCTGTGTTGTGTGGATTACCTTATTGCACTGATACTTATCTGAGAAGAAATAGACTAAACCAGATTCATTAGTCCACAAGGTGGCAGCATGTGTTTACACTCTCTCTGCTGTACATAGTTGGCAAGGTTAAAAATCGGTTGCTTATACAGGTTCATTCTCCTGTTTATTATGTGGTCCTGAATTCATAACAACAAATTATGGGAAGATGCTTCCTACTTTTTCTTTTAATGTAGCAGTTATACCATATTTTACATTTTGTTTTCTATTAGGTTTTCTGTGGCTACCAGAGAGGATTGGCTTGAAATTGTATCTTTCAAACTAACTTAGCATTTAGTAGTAGTAGTGCTAGTTGCTTCATGAATTTCTGGTTTGAATTTCACATTTTTATAGTACAGTGGTTCTTAGCCTTCCTAATGCTGTGACCCTTTAATATAATTCTTCATGTTGTGGTGATCCTCAACCATAAAATAATTCTCATTGCTACTTTTAACTATAATTTTGCTATTGTTATGAATTGTAATATAAATATCTGTGTTTTCTGATAGTCTTAGGCTAACCCTGTGAAAGGGTCATTCAACCCATAAAGGGTTGACCTACAGGTTGATTACCAGTGTAATCGTATTATGCACAAAACTTAACTACTTTGTATCATTTAATTTGTTTTAGCATTTGGCTTATGTTTGCTCAAGTGTTCTTGAGCAACAATAGAAAATGAGTTCTATTCAGCACTTGTGAACTAATGAGAAGCAAATGGTTTATATTTTTGTGAGTGATATAAATTTGTTACTTGTAAATAAAATATTTGCTGGTTGTTTTAATTACTACACGTGATTAAATACTACCCTATTTTAAGACAATTTTAACTATTTTACTTGCACTTTTAACTCACCCTTTTAGAATAAGCTTCTCTATTTTATAGGAAGGAAGCTGAAGTAAGGAGAAAAAAAAGGAACTTGTTTAGAATCAATACAATGTAGTGTGTTTATACTGTGTGGTGTTCAACTGGTCACTAAAACCACTGGAATTAAACTTTGTTTTATAGCTGATGTTTACAAATACTATTTTTTTGCTAAACATCAATTTATTCTGACAGCCAGTGTTTCCAGAGTTAGGGTAAATTTTAATGTGCTGTTTATAGAATTCTTGTGAGTTTTAAATTTTACTTAGTAGATCTCCAAGAAATCTATAACTTGATTTCTGAAGAAGGGATGAATTTTAAGGAGTTATTACCAATGTTCTTTCTCTTTTGATCAGCATATATTTCTGTTAGTAAGAGTTATTAGCTCTCTAGGGTTAGGGAGAAATGAGATAAACTTTTCCTGTCATTGATTTGGGGGTGGTGGGTAGGGGGTGGGAGGGGTAAGGTCCTTTTTTTCATTATCTAGCCTAACTAGAAATAAATTCAGTTAACTCTATTTAATTGAGATGAAATGAGATCTTGAAATTATTTTAGCTTTTTTGTCCCATAAATACTGATTTGCTAATTAACTGTTAGTAGTATTTCTATCTTTTCAGAAGATAAATAGGAATGCAGAGGACAAGATTTCCTTCAAGAATCCTTCCTAGGGCCAAAGTTCAAAAGTAGTATAATTTAAAGCTATGTTTTAGGCTGACAGCTTTATTAGAAAGGTTTCTTATCTAGCTGATTTCCTGTTGTACTCCTAGGTCTGGCACATGGGAGGTACTAGTGACAAATAATTGCCGACTGAGTGCATGACTGCAGAAAAACACAGTTTCAAGGAGAGCTCTTTTGGTCATTGGTAATTCAGCTGCTTCCTGCAGTGGCTTTTAACTTTTCCTCTGAAGGAAAGCTCTGCTAGTCTTCTTTGAGTTTGGGTCAGCCTGGCTCTAGAGTGAGACTGTTAAAAACAAAACAACAACCAAAGTACAACAAACAGAAAATCCCCACTAAGTCAGTGTAGTTTCTTAGAAAAGTTTGCAGTATTGGAGAAATTGCAGTTGTTGAAGACCGGCATGTTTGTACACAATAAATTTAGAGGAAAGTAAAATTTAATTTTGCTTTCTCTGTAGACAAGAAATAAAGCAAAAAAGTATTTACACATTCTATTGTACATGTGGTCTCTATGGGAGAAAGTTTTTATAAATGCTTAGAGTTTAACTCATAATCTGAAATATGGGGATAAGGAAATATAAAATGGATTTATTGTTTTTCTTTGTCTACTTATGTGCGTGCGTGCGTGCGTGCGTGCGTGCGTGCGTGCGTGCGTGCATGTGTTGGGGCCTCATATACACAATCACTTTATAGCTATCTCCCCTACCCAGCTTATTATCTGTTACACTTGCCTTGTATTATTTTGTGTGAAGCACTGTAGCAATGTCATTTGTATTTAATATTTGTAAATACTACTTGAGGACACTACTGAGAAATATTTTCTACTTCAGTTTCAGAAGTGTAGAATTGAAATTTTTGCTTTCATAATTGCTCTCTATTTAATCCTAATCTTACTAAATACACATTTCAGATAGGACAAAAGGTCATAGTACTTTGGGGGAAACATATTTTGGCTTTTTCTGCTTTGGTAGATTTTATTAACCTTTAATTTCAGAACT